GGTTTGCAAAACCACTCACTACCTCACCTAACCCCACGAACACACGGCACTGATAAAGAAATATTGCGAAACGGACAAAGTATTCAGCCAGTCCAGCTAGCCGAGCCTTTATTCTTTAACTACATTTGATAGCACGTTTACTAACTATCTGGGCGACTAGGGGCCACATGCAAGAAATGTTTATGACTGTACTCTTATTTTCATTGCCGTTCCAATTGGGAATGGATAGACTATATCAAGCTTCGAAAGGTAAATAAACGCCTTGGAGTGAGCCAATCTTGGAAGATTCTGCCAGAAGTCTATAAATCTCCTTGCCATCCAGGAGTTTAATCTTTGTTTGGCAAAGCCTAAAGCGATGCCAATGACAGATTCTGGCCCGATGAAGCTGCTTGCAGCACCCTCCATCACCTTGCAATACCAAGGGAGTCAGCAGCCTCATTGCCTTCCACACCAATATGGCTGGGAATCCAGACCAGAGACAATATGTTGAGTCTTCCTATCGAGGAGAATTGTTTTTGGTAATTTGCTACCAATTTAGACGTTGCTCAGTAGGATCCAAGAGCTTCTAACGCCGTTTGACTGTCCGAGAAAATGTTATTGACTTGTGTATGAGGTTGGATTCTTGCAATCTCTCCGCACACAATTCAATAGCATAAATTTCCGCTTGAAATAGAGTCGCATAGGTTCCTAGGCAGGTTGATATCTCTGTCCTGGGTCTGCGACTGACAGTTGGAGGCATCAAGTCAGAGGTCATTACCAGAATGCTGTGACTTCCAGTGTCAACTAGCAGCCTGTTGCATTCCTTTAAAAATGCTCTGTGATAGTTTGGTGTTAAGCTACTTCAACTAGTGTGACTTCATATACGAGCAATACTTATATGATTCAGAAAAAAAATAATACAAAAAGTTCAAAATTCTTGTTGCCGTCTAATTTATGGAATTCGTAAGTATGATTCAATTTATGGGTTGTTTTGTTCATGAATTGATTACCATTTCGCACTCTCACCTTTGAATACAAAAACTGATTCTGCGTGAAGATATCCATTCAATACATATTAGAAATAGAAACAAATTATCTATGCCAGGACATCGCACTGCACAGTTTCAGAGATTATTTTTTTGGTGCTGTAAAACTCTACAATTCATTGCCAGAGCAATTGAAGAGATTCATTGTCAGGAAATTCTAATACAAATATAAAAATTATGTCTATGATAGTCAGTAATGCCAATTTTTGTATCAGCCCGAGCTAATGTACTAATATTTCGTTTGCAGGGACAAAACAGAAGATTATAACAGATATTACTATAAACTAACGCATACTAGATGTGGACCTTACATCATTGGAATGATATGCGGATATATAATTTATAATATAAAGTCCAGTCCAAGAACGTATAAGCTGCCGATAGTAAGTATTGTAAGAAGTGAGGAGGTTCACTTATTACTCGGTCGAATTACATCAAAAAATAGGAATGAAGGTACNATGTGTACCAACTGTTGGTGATGAAATATTTCATTTGTTGAAAACTCAATATACATATATATAATATAATGATACTATATCTTGAAAACAAGAGCTAATATATAATTTTTATGGTCACTTTCGGTTTTAACACGTGGAAATACATTAAAATCATCTAATTTCAACCCCGAAACAAAAACTTTGTTGTGTTGTGAACGATCAATAACTTTTTTTGCAACCACATTTAGACTACATCCCTTTTCACAGTTACAAAAAATTGTGTTCAGCAGTTATTCCGGCGCAGGTGCGGGGTCTGAACTGATTCTAATGTGTTGTCGACCAACTTGCTACTGAGCAGCTGCTGATGTTAGAGGAAGACAAACTAGTTGCACTTGTTTTTTATTTCGAGTATTTTTAACGAAACATGCATTTCGAAACTTATCTAAGCACGTAGCTTTTTTAGGAGCTCCATACATAGAGAGGAGCAAGCGAATTCAGTTGGTGATAACTTCTTGTGTGGAGTTGGGTTAATCTTTTCGAAAACTTCAACACATTGAACTGAATTTTGTTTCTCAAACATTTCAAAAACTGTCGTAGCACAGCTAGCTATTGCATGTAAAAATAGTACATGATTTTGACATGAAGAAGTTGGACTGTTTAGTTCTGTTCTATGTACAAATTGTCAAGGCCGGTCGTGCTTCAATGTTGAATCACTAACAGTTGAGGATTCATTTAATACCAACGAGGAGATATGCAATGTATCACTATTGAAGCAATTTACTTGCACTCAAGATGAAGAAGAAGAACAATGAGGAGAAGAAGAAGCAGAAGTATTAGGAAATCATGCATCAGAGGAATAAATTTTCTTATTTTTTTTCTTTATTTACGCTGCTTTCATCGTTTCCAATCCTTGCCAATATATTTTATTATTCACATATGGTAGTGGGCATACTCGCAGACTGGCTATAAATCAAACGACTCTTTCAGGCCAGTCTCAACTTGGACTGACACCTATCAGAAAACAACTACTCCCCTGACTTACACCACGACGGGCGTTGGATTATATCCAACAGGTGTCAGTGCAGGATTCTTCACTGAAGTTATTCCTGCATATGCTGTTAGTATAACAACTACCGCAATAGATTTTCAATTATTGGAACATACTTGCAGACCGGTTTTGGGCTGTTTGGTCACTCATGAGTGCAATGTAGTGTCTATCATCAACATAAAATTGATAATTTCCGATAATTGAAAATCGAATTCCTACAGAGTATCATTCCTCGAACTAGACTGAAGCGAACAACAAACAACAGGTTTGTCATCGCCCCATCTGCCTGTAAACGAGGTAACCAACCGCATATCCGAAGTTTGTCCGTGCCCACCGACTATATGTGAAATTCCTTATACGAGGAATTGGGCAAAGTTGAGGTTTGAGCTTTGAAGATAGTACGACCAGCTGTCGAAAGCGCTCGCATATAATAAATAGAAGTTATGAAGCTTCAAATAATTTTTGTGACATACGTTAATATTAAACAAAGGAAAATTAGTTGCATCATCCAAACTATTATATAATATATCACTATATTTGTTGAAATATTATTTCAGGTTTTGAAAATTCTCTACTGGATAATTTGCCTTGCACTCCTAGCCACATGTATTTTCGTACCTTTGAGTCTGAATGAAGACACAGTTTGGCAAAACGCCCTTTTCATTTCGCTTCACAGACTGGTCTGGTCAATATGCGTTTGTTCTATTATAATAATGTGTGTTACGAATAATGCAGGTAGGATTTTTTTATATACACACTCTACTAACAATTTTTAGTGATTTTCAAAGTCTCTCAACCAATAATGTGATAGAAATAACCGATATTTGATGAAAATTCAATATAACGTTTTCAAAACACACATCCTCGAGCGTCGCAATACTGTTTTTATAAATTCTGTGTCGTGCTATAATATTAATTTGAATCATTATGGATATTACTATCTACCAAATTTCTACATGATGAATTATTTACCTATCTAGGAACAACTCATAAGACTGGAGAATAAAATAAGTTAGAAAAAAATATGTTTAACGGTTTTAATGTAGTAAAAAATAATTCGGAAGGTCCCAGGTAGCAGTCATCACACCACTCTTCTCAGCAATCTGCGGTATTGATGAGTAAATATGTATAGAATATGTAAGTATGTGAATAAATAAATATCTAGGTAAAGTTAGGTTAGGTCCAAAATGAGTGGGTCTATTTGGGTGGGTTATTGGAGTTCGGCTCTGCCGAACTCTAATAACCTGATTCGGATCCCAGCGGGGCAGGCAAAAAGTATGTGATCTGCTGTTTCGTAATTTTCCAAACAGAGGCGACACACACTGCCTTCCGACAGTCCAAGTCTCTGCATATGATAATTCAAATGACAGTGACCTGTGAGAAAGCCTGTTAGATATCGTAGTTCATCCCTACTGTAGTCCAGCAACTGTTTGGTATCAAGCTCCATAGGGTGAATAAACCAATACTGGAAGATTCTGCCAGAAGTCCATAAATCTTATTGTCATCCAAGTGTTCAATCTTTGTTTGGTATAGCCTAAAGTGATGCCAATGACAGGTTCTGGTCCGACGAAGCTGCTTGCAGCACCTTCCAACGCCTCTTAACTGTCCGAGAATATTTTTACTGACTTGTGTATGAGTTTGGATTCTTTCAATCTCTCCGCACACAATTCAATAGCGTAAATTTCCGCTTGGAATACAGTCGCTAAGATCCCTAGGCGAACTGATATCTCTGTCCTGGGTCTGCGACTGAAAACACCTGCACCGGAACCAGAAGGTGTTTTTGATCCATCTGTGAATCAACAACTATCTGCTCTTAAAATTTCCTTCTCCCGGAGGACCCAGTGCTATCTACTCGGGAACAGTACTTCATAAGGCAGTTCGTAGTTGACAGTTGGAGGCATAAATTCAGAGGTCATTCCTAGAATGCTGTGACTTCCAATGTCGACCAACAGTCTGTTGCACTCTGCATTAAGTTGATTTGTGCAATTGGTAATGTGCAGAAGTCTATATGCAGTCCATCTAGCCTCTCTCTCCAGAAAAATGTGGAGAGGAGGTAGATCTAATCTAAAAGGATCTCCATGGGCGATGAAGTTGTGGTACTGATGGCACTTCTGATGGCCAGACAAGCCTATCTCTGAATAAATAAATATGTAAATATTACGCCCAACGATTTTATTATTTTTTTATGTGATCAATACCATAGAGTGTTGTGATGACTGCTACCTAGGACCTCCCAAATTATTTTTCAGTTTTCAGTACATTATCTACATCATTATCTTTTTCTTTTCAATAAAACATTTTAACATAAAAAACCATAACATCAAAAATGCCACTAGTTTGCCCATTTAACCGAATTCGTAGCATCAATAATAATGGAGTTGGCAATGGTGCCGACTTAATTCGGAACACCTTGTATATACAAACATATATACATATTACATTGCCTGAATATCTAGTCAAATGGTTTTGTTGGTGATTATTGATATTTCAAAAGTCAGATTCAAATGTTTGAGTTTATTTTTGACCAAATGAATGAAGGTACGTGATTCGAATTAATGCAGAGATGACATATCTGATAGTTTTTCTGGCTCATTCAGCCACTAGACTGCGACCTTTGCAGATCTATTGTGTGTGCCCTAATGTATGCTAGAGTTCCTTGTCCAGGCCCGTCCTTGTAACTAGACTCCATAGGCCAGACCTCAAGTTCCCCATATATTGAGAGGGTCGTGGTTTTTCCTCCCCTAATGTTGCAAACCTTATCCTTGACAGGCCTTCGCAATAGTATGTGTACGGAGGTTTCCTCATCCTCTTGACAAAGCCTACATAGGGCTGCGTCTGCCAGTCCGATGTTGTTCATGTGTTTGTTGAGTCTACAGTGTCCCGTCAATAGCCCGACCAGATCTCTAGTTGATCGCCTATTCAGACTTAGTAGGTACTCCGTGAATTTTGGCGATCGCTCTTTAATGAACTCTTTGGCCTGTCTCATACCCGGCACCTTATTCCACCATTTCTGAGATTGTTTTTCCTTCCAGTTGTTGTTACAAGTTTTTTGCAGCGCTTTTGCTGTACCACAAAAGGGTTCTGGGCCAAAGGAAATTGCAATTATGGGCGCTATTTTTTTTTTTCATTCTTTCAATATGTTGTCTCCATGATACATTGCCATCCAGACTAAGACCAAGAAATTTAGCACTAGGATATTATTTATTGACAAGCATAATCATTCAAAACATATTTAAAACTTGAAGAAATATTCTTATTCCACTCTTTCGATAGTGACTGAATTTGTATGTACCAACTCTTCAGATTTTGTGAACAGCTTCTTGTTAACGCCATTCTTTCAAGTGATAGCCAGGTTATCCCATTGTACATACATCATTCACTGTTGAGAGGACTGTTGACTGGAGTGAGAGGACTGATCATGAGGGGATGTCCAAAGGGAGGGGTCTTATCACCCCTTCTTTGGAATATAGTTCTGGATACCCTAATTAATCACCTCAACAATAATGGATTCTACACAATTGCATATGCAGATGACATAGTTATCATGCAGATGGGCAAATTTGTGAACACACTGTGCTGTAGAACGCAGGATGGACTGAAATTGATAGAAACATGGTGTAGGAACACTCACTGTCAATCAATCCCAAGAAGACTGAGATGTTCACCAGGAAAAAAAGTTTATCGGGCCTAAAACCTCCCGAAATCTTCGAAAGCAAACTAAACTTCTCTGAAAAGGTCAAATACCTTGGTACTATCCTCGACAGGAAGCTTACATGGAAATCTCACCTACAGAGTAGAGCAAAAAGAGCATATGTGGCTTATGAACAATGTCGGAGGACAGTGGGACGCGCATGGGGTCTTTCACCCCGTGTGGTTACCTGGATCTACACTGCAGTAGTAAGACCTATGTTAACGTACAGAGCGAAAGTTCTATAGGTTCTCTGGGCCTATACGTTAAGGAGGTTGCGTTAATGGCCATACGATTGCGCACGGTTGGTGTAAACCTCGAAGTAGAAATGGGTCAATGAGCCTTTTTCCTGAGAGTAGTACAGCGAATGTGTCACGAGAGGCAGCACTAGTAGTAGGGACAAACATAAACTATTCACATGTAAAACAGTGTTATTTACGTAATATTAATTTATTATTTAAAAATATGAATATGATATGAAAAATTATTTGGTGCTAGTATGATGCCAACAAAGCATTACTCTTTTGAGAATTGTACAGCGGATAATAGATATCCCGAAGAAAACGTGTTTTTTTATACCATTTATGAAATCCCATATTAATGAGGTTAGATGTAAAAAATGGATACATGCTTCGAGGAGAAGGGATTTAAGAGTGCAAAAAATAAATAAATATTCATATGTATGCTCTAAACATGAAATTAATAGTAATTTTTTCATAGTTGATTACCATTGATTAGAATGAGATATAATCTCAATCATTCATTAAATCATATTCATTTATTTTAATTGAATAATTTTATTTCATTACTATCTATATGTATATGATATCTATACAACGTGACTCACGGTGATGGTAGGTTATAGACGTTTCTGGAAAACGCAAAGCATGATTTTTCTGAAAATTACACCTCTCACATTTCCTTACCTATTATATCGATCTAAAATATTTTCAGCATTGCAGCGTTGCCACTTCCATCAAAAAGTCCTAGCAACTTTATTGTTTCAAAAGGAACACCCCGTATATTAATACATTTTTGGAATCGCTCTAGTATTTTAATACTTTTTTGTTAATAATGTCCTATACCTATCTCTATCTGTTTTCGAGATAAAAAATAAATTGTGCCAAATATGGTCCAAAACATAGCCTTAATTGAAATTAAGTTCATCAGTACTCTCAATTCATGAAAAGTTGATATTTTGATGATAGTTTGGACAAACTCAAAATATTCAAATAACACCAAGAAATCGACTCCATATCATACAGGGCGTGCTAAAATTACTATTACTTCCATTGTGCATAAAAGTAGTCAAAAGTTCATTTTTTCAAATGAAACCCCCTGTATATTACTCGATAAATTGAAAGATGGTAAAAAATGCTTCAAGATGATATATCATGTTCCTATACCTAAATCGTCAAGTTTTCTCAATAAAGTCGCTTCTTCTAGAAACATTATTTTTTTTTAGAATTTGGATTTAGGTAGCAGTGGAATTATCAAGCTTATAGCAGTTCGGTTACTTTTATGAGTAATTTACAAAGAGTTATCGAAAAACATTCTTTTTTAATTGTATTTTACCATATGTTTATATGAGGATTAGGAAGTGTTTGTCCCTACCGAACTACTAGCGCTGCTAGTGAGTGATTTTTCGTACTTCAGGAAAAAGATTCATTGAGGCTGAGCTTATGCCGAGAAGCGCTTACTGCGCAACCTCTACTGCAGGCAACCAGTGATGCAATTGAATCCAGGTTTGTGTTTAATGAACTCTACAAAATACAAATAAAACAGAACACTACAGATGCTACAAATGCAATACGCATATATACAGACGTCTCAAAACCAAAGAAAGCTCAGGATGTGGAGTGTACTCCATATCACTAAGCCTAAGGATTGAGTGGGGATGGGAAAAGAAAAATTTCCAGTGTGGTTCAAACATAACTGGCTGGTATCTCAACCGCCACAGAAGAAATAACCAGGGAAGGAATGTCTGGCAAAAACATAGCAATCTGCACTTATATCAAGCAAGCTCTATTAGCCTTGAATAAACAACGTGTTGCTTCAGGGCTAGTACTAGAGTGTTACCAAAATCTACCGTCAAAGCCTCGGTAGATAATAACATTATCCTGAGGTGGATCAAAGGGCACGACAGGAGTAAAGGTAATCGCATTGCCGACTCTTTAGCCAAGGAAGCAGCTGGACTAAGAATTTTAGGACCTACTGGCACCTACGACAATTGCGGAACCAGCCAAACGTCACACTCATGTTCAATCCCTAAAGAGATGGGATGAAATCAAAGGATGCAATTTTCCCAGGATCACCCTGGGCGACCCTGAGAAGCTGGCGCCGAAGAAATATCTGGCGATGACCAGGAAAAATCCACGCAGTAGGATTTCTGACTGGTCACTGTCAACTAAGGAAATGCCTCCAAAATATAGGGCTAGTGGACACACCTGAACAGGAAGATGAAACTATCAGGCATGTCCTATGCAAATGTCCGGAGTCAATAAGAGAGTGTGTGTTCGGCGAGTCTTGGCCTACACCTGCCGACATAAAGGAGATGTCGTCCAGAGACCTGTCCACCTTCCTGGAAAGGACAGGGTGGACGATGACCTAGGAGGAACACTTCTTGAGAGGATGTACAATGGGTCACATGTCGCCTAAGTGTTGTGGGCCTACATTCAACTTCCCTACTCTAAAGATACAGATGTCTCTATGATACATTTTCATCCAGATTAAGACCAAGAAATTTAGCACTGGGATAGTATTTATTGACAAGCATAATCATTGAGAATACATCTAAAATTTGAAGAAACATTCTTATTCCACTCGTTTGATAGTGACCGAATGCTTATGTACCCATTCCTTTTTTTCAGATTTTGTGAACAGCTTCTTGTCAATGCCATTCTTCCAAGTGGTAGCCAGGTTATCCTATTGTGCATACATCATTCACGGTTTATGGATTTTAGCAAAAGTCTTTTCTACGAAAACAGTGGTGAATTACTCCATAGTTCAAGTGGTGAGCATGTAGGAAAAAAATAGTTGAATTTTTGAAAGTCATCAATTCTCTCTTTTCTTTTCATTTGTTCATTCCAAATATAATGATAATGAAGGTGGGATCAAACTGTTTGATCTTCCTCTTGAAGATGATCACTTGGTGATCGAAACACGTGTCGAGGTGTTAAAATAACGGTTTGGTGTTGGGAAAAAACTCCAGTAATATTCATTGATAGTGGAAGAGGATTTAAGGACCCCAGTGGAGACTGACCCATCCCAAACGATGTGTGGGGGCATCAGCTCTCATATGTTTGAAACTTATTGGAATTATCAAAAATCTCGAAAAGTAGGTGCCTCTCAAATTGAACGATCGACAGAAATTGTCATGTTTCGAGGTCTTTGATTTTGAGCAACCAGAACGATCCTTTTTTGGATCGGATCATCACGTGTGATGAAAAGTGGATCCTCTTAAAGGCAAAACCTAGTAGCACTAGTAATGATTACATGGTAACCAATTTCTGTAAAGAAATAACTGTGTATTGGTACAACCAAACATTGCAGATCATCTATCCCACATATTAACCGTTAAAAAACAAAAAGTAAATAATAATGAAAAAAAAGTTCTGTTAAATCAGTTATAGTAAAAAGACGTGTCAATACTAGCAGTATCAATGAATTAGGAACTAGACTCAGTACTACAATATGGTTTCCAACGTTATATAATATGACTAATCATGATGGGTTCTATTTTTTCTTAGAGTCCCTCTCTTGGTGTTTTGATGTCTCATGTCCCAAAAAAACAAGGGCATTAATAATAACTGGATTTCTGACGATGTTGCCCAGAAAGGAAAATATCTAAGAGATACGTTCCCTCTAATAACAACTGATCGAGAAGTTGACCCTATTAATATGGCTGTATACAAATCTGGGCTGAAACAACACAAGAATAACGTTAAGCACTAAAATTGACAATGTCAGTAACAAAACTAAAGAAACGTGGAATATAGTAAACAAAGAGTTGGGAAGAAAAAGAAAGTGTTATGCTGATAATGTTATCACTCTCCGTCATGAATCAGTTGTGGTTAAACACCTTTCTGCTGTGGCAGACCTATTTGCCCATCATTTTGAAAATTCTGCTAAAACGGCTATTTCCACACACTTAGGTCAAAATGTAACATTACCCTGTACAACCAGTACGAATGTTAATATTGTACACACATTTGCAAATGGACCGATTACTGAAGCTGAAATTCATACTGTCAGATGACATGTTAATACCAGTTGTTAAAGACATATTTGAACTTATTGCATCTCCTCTCATTTATCTAATGAATCAATCCTACATGCTAGGCTACTTTCCAGAAGAGTTCAAGAAAACCTTAGTCATTCCTCTTTTTAAAAAAGGAAATGGAAATGACCTGAATAACTACCGACAAATTTCATTAATTTGTTCTCTTTCGAAATTGTATGAAAAAGTGGTGGCTACTAGAACAGTGAATTATTTAGAGTCAAATAATATACTATGTAATAATCAACATGGATTTAGGAAAGACCGTTCCATGATCTGCCTATGATCATCTCAATAACATAACAGTGACAATCACTGGCTCTACACTGGAAAATGAATTAACAAGAGTCAAAGAAGTTACTTATAGATTTACGTCATGGTGTGAATTCAATCACTTAATATTAAATACCTCCAAATCTGTTTCGATGGAATTTTATAACAGAAAAAATAACATTCAAGATGGAGTTGACATTACTGATGGAATAGCGATATCACATTATGTTAAATTTCTAGGAACCATGTTAGATGAATCTTTAAATTGAGATTTACATATTGATGTGGTTTGCAAGAAACTTAATGCAGCATTCTTCGCGACTAAGCAGATGAAATTGCTTGTAGATAAAAAAAATCTCTTAAGTATATATTTTGCAATGACATATCCGCATATTTTCTTAAATATAATGTCATGGGGATGTGGTAGAGATCTCAATAGAATATTTGTTGCACAAAAGCGCATTATAAGACTGATTGCTTGCATATATATTCAAATGTGTGACTTATGTAAGAAATAATCTTGCATCTTTTGAAACGAATGCTTCTACTCATAAATGTCTTTATTTTTGCACGCATTAATTCCAATTTTTTGAGTATCTCTTTTCTTTCTGATTAGTTTTGATTTGTTGATTGATNCATGGTTAATGAGGTCTATGAGTATGACATTAGTTTTTTTCGACTGATATCGTTATCAGTTCAGTTATTCGTAATTATTTTGCTCAAACGATATAAACTATAATATATTATAATATACAAAAATGACAATAAGCATAATAATTGCCTAAATTGAATGTTCCATTCAACATTTTGAAACACCGAACTCAAAAAATTCTTCGACCGTGTAAAACATTTTGTCAGTGGAATTGTTATCGGTGTGAAACATTAAGTGTGAGACTATCAGTTGAAATTCAGTTGAGTTGGCGAGTTTTCCCTTGAAACATGGGAATGAATTTGGTTTTCGTGGTAGTCGTCATATTATTTCAAAAATCAGTCGGTGTAAATTTAGCATCTACATATCTTGACTACTTCGAGGGTGTTTTTTTTCACACGAATTTATCTGGGGTATCGGAAAAGTGTAGAAGATTATTCATAGGTGGCAATTTCTCTCGAACAATATGTAAGTATTACCAAAATAATAACAGATACAAATACGAATACATCAAGAAGTATATTTCCGGGCAAATAGTGTTTTTGTACAACTTTGAAAAAAATTGAAATTTCTGCATTTCTATTGATGCGTAAATGTTGACTTTTGGTAAATTTTCGTTTTGAGGACACCCGGCGATTTTGAAAAAATGTTTGCGTGTACTTACGTATTTTGATGCGTAGATTACGAATCCGAAAAAGAAAAAACCGGCGCTCTCCCTTATTTACAAAGTTACGGCCCCTCAAAGTTCTGAAAAGGGCAACTTTTCAGCCTTCTTTTTCACAAAATAAACTATTTAAAAACACAAACATCTATTCACTAGTTCACCTTTACACCTTATTCCTCCTTCTTTGACACTTTTCACTTCAATAATCAACATTTTTCTTATAAAAAACTTAATTTAAAAACGAATGCTTCTCCTGGTGACATTATTCTATTTTTAGGTTAGTACTAGTGACATTTCAGAAAAAAGCGGTTGGTATTTGCCGCCACCTACTATTTCAAATTCGTAATACACCACCAAAAACCAATTTACGATCTAAACAATGAAGGTAAAAAACATTTGAATTACTTTACGAATATGAACTGCATCAGTCGTACCAATCATGCCATTAACCTTAAAAACGTAAAATATAGAGATATGTAACCAAAAAGCAGCTCCGTATATTTTTTAGCATTTTTATTGGAAAAATGTTGATTATTGAAGTGAAAGGTGTCAAAGAAGGAGGAATGAGGTGTAAAGGTGACCTAGTGAATAGATGCTTGTGCTTTTAAATAGTTTATTTTGTGAAAAAGAAGGCTGAAAAGTTGCCCTTTTCAGAACTATGAAGGGCCGTAACTTTGTAAATGAGGGAGAGCGCCGCTTTTTTCTTTCAGATTCGTAATCTACGCATCAAAATACGTAAGTACACCCAAAAATTTTTCAAAATCGCCGGGTGCCCTCAAAATGAATATTTACCAAACAAGTTTATTCATTGCAATAATAATTGAGTGTAAAGTTTGAACAATTACTCCCAACATCAATTCCCGAAGATGTTCTGTGTTGCTGCTGATCAGAAACGTTAGATATTTCTTGAAGAGTTGATTTCACAATTTTATCAGGTATTTTAATTTTGTGAGAAGATGAACAGTTCAATATTTCCTTAGAAATCTCATTTTTTATTCAAACTACCTTCTATACATGCTTCTGCTACGGAGGCAGATTTCCAGCCACCGTGACATGTTATAGATGTAATGTTGCCCCCTGCATTGGGCACAAGAGTTACAGAACTTCTCCTGAAACAGTGACCTGTGTAGCTCTCATACATGTCTTTTCCAAGCCATTTTGCAATCAAGCTGGAAATTTTTCCTGATTTATATATCCCAATATGTTAGTTAATACATTTTTTTTTTGAGTATTCCAAAAATAATCCACTCCATGACGTAGGAGGTTTTATAATTTTTGATTTTTCCTCAAGCACATTTTCGGAAACCTTTTTTTCCTGTTTCTTGTCGCACCATTCACGAAATTGGTCATATGTTTTCAGCTATAATATCCCAAGGACATTGATAACTAACGAAATAATTTTATCACAGTTTTCGAAAGCACGTTATTTGGTAACATCCCGACGCCGAAGGCGGAGGGATGTTACCAAAAATAACGTGCTTGAGGAAGTTGTGATAAAATTATGNATACTTTTTAGTTTCAATTCGTATCTTTTTGGTAACGAGATTACGACTTATTTTATATTTATCCCAATCACATTGTAGTTTGGTTTCCTTTGCTTTTTTATGAAGAAAATCACGTTTTTTTAAATCTGCCATGATTTCGTCTGTAAACCACACTTTCAATTTGAAATTATTGAAATTATGCTTCCTTTTGAATGTCCAAGCATCTAATAATATTATTGATGAATGAATTTGATATTTCATTAATGTCAGTAATATCATTATTCCATAACGTATTCATTAGGGACAGTTATTGGATTAATAATTGACAGTAAAGTTTGAACAACTACTTCCAACATCTACCTTCTTGAAATTGTATTGGAAATATTGATAACATTAAGGATAAAATGATTTTTTTCAGACAGGAAAAATTTTTGAATACAATTTTACTGAAAACATTGAATAATATTTTCAAGATAACAGTCGTTTAAAAGAGTTAACTTATCGGGACTTCAGACGAAGTAAATTTACATTCACAGTTGTACAAAAAATGTTTGTATTTCGTGTAAAAATTATCACTCTCATATGCCATTAAAAACACTCATTTAACGCTTTCTCACTTTTTAATCGGAAAAATATATTTTTTTATTCACAATTCTGTAAACAGTTTCCATTTTCATTTCAGTTTTCGATGCGTGTGGTAAAATTCCTGATGGAATTAATAATGGAAATTTTTTCGAATTAGGTAATTTCGATCAATGCTACCATCACTTTGAAACCATCGGTGATGACATTCACACAGGAAAATACTGTCTGGGTTTCATGGGTTTGGGAGAAAGTAAAGTGAGTATTAACAGTGAGTTTTTTCTCAATTTTCAACCATGATGTGACAGTATTTCCATTTAAAAAATGCAATATTCAGTTTTCTTTGAAAGTGATTGATAATGTTTTATGGTGAATTTCGTTAGACTTCCATTGATTCTAATATGATTCGAAATCTATGAAAGAAACAAAAAAAATTAGAATGAATAGCTGAAATATCAAATACAGGGTGTAACTAAATGAGTGCAAGAAGTATAAGGAAGTGATTTCTCATCGAAAAAAAAAAGATAGGATCTTTCATATAAAGAAATTTCATTGGAGCATCCCTTGTTAAGATACAGCCCCTTAAAGGGGGAACATGAAATTGTATAACAATTTTTTTCACAAGCACTAAAAAAGTTACAATATTGAAATTAACCTGNACATGTGAAATCACTTAGTGAAAGTAAATTATGTGAAATTGAATCAAATTGCAGGTGTGTGATACATTGAAAATTATTTTTAATAAAGAGTTTTTTATCGAAATATACAGTTTTAGATGTTTATTGAAACATCTATTGAATATTTTGATGAGAGTGTTCCATATTATTGTAACACACCATATACATACAACTATTGAAAGTATTTTGAGGTTTGTTATATCAAATCATACAACAACATTTTCGTTGTGTGATCGAAATGAGTACTACATTTTTCACTCTCCAACCGACTCAATTATGCCCGCCTATGGAACTGTTACTTGAAAACGACTCATTTCTCCGCTGCTCAAGAAAATAGACTATAGGGTGTGATTTTTTGTTTTTTTTTTGTTTCATTATCAGATCCGCGGAATTTCTATATGTTTCTATACTTTTTCCTCACTCCTTGCTTATGAGTTTGCCTTTTGAATTTATAAACAGCGCAGAAACTGTCCATTTATTTACAGGTTGTGAATAGTTGGGGAACCACCGCAGTGTCACTACTTCTTTCGTTTATTCTGAGTCTGATGTTTGAAATGCCCGCTCCGGAAGTTGAGAAGTATTTTATAAAATTTTTGAGAAATATTTTTGGTGTGATGTCGTCTGCCGGTGGTATGAAATGGAAACCACCTAGTTCCTGAAATGAATTAGAAATAAATTGTAGATATCTCAGTGCCGCATGTATGCAAATGATTTTTTTTATGATCTTGAATAAAATGTTTCATTGAAATGTGATATTTTATCTATCCCGTTCCTGAAAGATTCAATTCTTTTCATTTGTCAAATATGAAAAGGCTGATTACTAGACTGAATTGTATCTAAATATTATGTGTTATTTGTTGGATTTATGAATTATTTCTAGCATCTATGGGTTTTCAATCCTCTAGATTCAAAAAAAACTTTTCAAAATTGATCAGAAATTTTACTGCGTTCGAATAAAAATTGACGTACCTAAAGATTTATCCAATTCGTCATTTCAAATTTTGCGTATACAGGCCGTAAACCGTGACAGATACGAAGAAGTTTTTAGGGAACAAGAAAGTAGAAAATTACGAAATATTTGTAGAATGTCTCTCAAATTCCATTTTTTGCACTCCCATTTAAATTTTTTCCCGGAAAATTTAGGTGCTTTCAAGTGACGAACAAGGGGAAAGGTTCCACCAAGACATACTGACAATGGAGTAACGTTACAAAAGCAGATGGGATACAGCAATGATAGGATATAATTGTTGGTTCCTCATGAGGAAAAACGATAAAACATATAAACGAAAGTCGACATTTGCAAAAAGGTTATGCACAAAAGACTTCATTTGAATGTTTTTTATGTGTATTGTGAATAAAGTCTGTTATCCTCAAAATATATTGTTTTTTTTTCTTGTTTTGATCTTATATTTCCCTTTAATACGTGAACATTTTTGTACAAAATAAATATAACTCAAAATCTTTACGTGATGGAAAATTTTTGATGCAACCAGGATGCTTTAAACTCCAATGTATAGCCATTATAATAATAGTTGTATTTTTTTCCTTATTTGTTGGCTAGTGTTATTATAGTGCTGCTCTTGAAAATTGATGACTTCAATTTGAAAATTTCAGAAATGGAAATGGAAATTCCGAAAGAAAGATTGGACCTTGGTGATTATATATTGGAAAGAAAGGTCAAAAAAATATTCAGGTGTCTAACTTCTAATAGATCTTGATTGAGACAATTTATAAGGATTCTTTTTGAATTCACTAATAGACAAAGAAAATATGACTTGTATTCAAAATGATATTAAATGCGATCGATATCAAAAATACAGCAAATGACGTTTTCAAACTTTTCTACTAGAAGTTTTCTATTTGACGCTTAATTCCAAATAAAATTTCGCCATACATAACTGAGAGATCCTTACGATCAATAAGTCTATAAGGAAGTTTGTGGTTTTATGTGTTTTAGGAGTCCATCATTACCAAATTTTCCACATTTCACAAACACTTTTCAATATGCATAACACTAACAGCTTTGAACTGATCCAATATACAATGCTCTGTTCTAAATTGAAGAATTAGGTTGCTTATATTACTTGGAAAAGTGTTGACCCACTAATCCATTTCTTTTGATGTGGAATTCGAATCCAAATATATTGTTCTCAATAAAATATAATGGTATCATTGTAACAAATATAATCGTTGNTTTCATTTCTTCATTTTGATTTATTCAATTGTTCTATTTTTACTTGTATTTTATTTCACTATTATTTCATTTCAGGTTTATTTTGCTCAGCAATTCATTTTTAATTCTTCTATTTTAGTTGTTTCAGGGATTTCAAATCATTTTATATAGAAGACAATGGAAGTCCGATCTAGTGGAATTCATCATGAAACATTGTCAATCACCTTCAAACAAACACCTCTAATCATAAATGTTTACGTACCTGGAATAACTAAGCAATAACTAAGCCGTAGCAGCAGCTGCTAGATTGTACCTTTCATGCTTTTCATATTCACAATGACAAGAGGTAATTCTTCTCGGCCTAGCCCGGGAAATACGTACTTTCCGGCCTAGTCTGGGAAATACGTACTTCCCGGCCTAGTCCGGGACTATGCCGGGAAATGCTACTTTCTCGAAGAAAAATCGTCCGAGAAGTGGACCCAATCGATCCGCGGGGCACTCCATATTTATCATAAGGGATGCTCTAGACACCATCAATTTTATTGGTCAACAGACACGCGGCCAATTTGAATTCTTGCTTTCTGAATTGTTCTTTTTTCTGCAAATATAAAGAGATCTTGGGACCGATTCTGCTTGATAAGTATAATATACCCCTAACTCGATCAGTCTATAAGCAAACCACTCTCATTTTCCATAGCACGAAACAAGCCCATTGACCGTTTTTCTGTTCGATTACAGGTTGCGTATCTCTATGTTAGCTCCGCTGAATGCGTCATTGTACAACATATATGCAGCTTCTTTGAACTTCTTCTCAAACCAGTGTTCCTCTCTGTGGATAACCTCAGCTTGGAACTACTGCTCACCCCTCTGTATGTTTCTCTTGTGTTCGGCAATGCGGACTTTCGATGGCTTCTCAGTTTCGCCGATACAGGATTTGCCGCACTCACAGGGTATCCGGTAAATGAGATTCTTGGAATCACAGTCCGCGTTTGGTGCCCTGGTTTTCTGGTATTTCCGGATCTGAAACAGGTTCTGACGTTGTAGTTGGACCCAATTCTTTTTATACTTTCCGATGATCCTCTGAGGTAGGGAAGGGCAAGCACTGGTTGTGACGGCTTCTCTTGTGAGGTTCTTGCTATCTTATAGTCAAAGTCTGTTCAACCATCACTTTGTAGGAACCATTCCGTTGAAGATCGAGACCTATTCGAGACCTTCCTTCGTGTTACAGAGCCCGAAAAATAGGTTCCTCTAGAGTCCTCTTTTGGTAGATTGATGGTGGTTGGATTCAGATACTGTCCCCTGTGAGTGAGTTTTCGGTATACAGATGTTTCCCACTTAGTGTCGATCTTTTTCACCAATACTTCTAAGAATGGCAATTCGTTGTGGATTTCCTTCTCCATTGTGAAGGTGATGAAAGGTTATAGGCTGTTGATGTGCTTCAGAAAGGTGTCTAGTTCTGTATTTCTGTGGTTCCATGCTATGGATTTAGAATCATATCAGAATCATATAATAATGTAACGAATTAAAGAATTAACTGTCCTAAACAAATTTATTTTTAACAATATTTCACTTTCCCAACTAATTTATATACAACACTTAGCTTAATTTATCTTCACTAATTTATCTTCACCGCTCGATTCGCTCTCTAGATACAGACTCCCTCTATGGATGGAAAACAGGGCTTATATACCGCTAACGAGCTTTCTAGATTCATCTAGAGGTCTCTGCACTCGCCTAGTATTTCCCGGCTAATCATACCGCTTCCTTCGCGGTAATGTCATATGTTTGGTGTCTGAGATAACGGTCAGGGCCGGCTTCAGTATATCATCCGTTATGGAGAGGAGTGCGGAAGTCGTACTATGTCGAGAACGAAACCCAGACTGAACGCTAGTTATGATATTGTACGAAGTAATGAATTCAATCAACTGATCTTTGAGAATCAGTTCAAGCATAGGGAAGGTAAAATACTAATGGGCCTAAGATCAGAGTAATGTGTCGGAGAGTTACACTTGACCAAGAGAATCACAAGTGCATGTTTCCAAAGGGAAGGAAAACACGAGGAAGTGATACACGAATTCAGTATAAAGGTGATGTATTCCAAGAGATATGTTTCCACCAAACGAATCATTCGAAGTGAGATACTGTCCGAACCTACAGCGTTGCTTCTGGTTTTATTCAAAAACTTCTGTACAGTATGTTCGTCAACGGGAGAGAACCTGAAAGAATCTGCAGTGTTCTTAGTTAGTTATAAGACAATGAAAGTCCAAACTAGTGAAATTCTTTCAGTTTTCATTCATTCTTGTAGGATTTTCCAACCATTCGTCTGAATTTTGTGAAAAATGATACATTTGGCATGTATACTGGATTTTGTTTAAGCAATCACTGTACACTGAAGGATTTCTCGAAGATATTTTATAAACACCATTTTTCCGAAGAGCAATGCTATTCCAAGAACACGGAGAAGAAAATTTCTGTTGGAGGCTGGATAACTATGTAAGTAAACGTTTTCAAAAAATATTTAGGATTTCTCCTGTTACACTTGTTATTACTCATCGGAGTGAAATTTATCAACGCGAGCCAAATGTTCATTCGAAATTTGATTGAAGGTGTCTAAGATAATACTGACAAAGATGAAATAGAGGGTGGACGGGAATTCAAGTTTTAAGATTCGCTCAGAAGAAGCACAACACAAAAAATACAACTTAAAAACAACAAAAATTGTCTGTCAACTTAATTCCTTCAATCACAGTTCAGGAAAATACTTTTTTTCAGATCCATCATTTCTGCCTTCATAGCCATAACAATTTGTTCCACGTTCTATGAAATATTGATTGCTCATACTGGAAAAGGTATTTATTTATTTATATATCTACAACAAAGCGAGTCTAGTAAAACCTAAGTGACATTAACCAGCTATCATGATGTTTAGGATTTCACGGCCGGTGACTAACAAATTGTCCGATGTTTCCGGATGGATCCCTGGGGTCTTTTGCTGACCTGAGAATATTCCTAATCGTTCTTGTAGGCTTGAAAATAGTCCTAACTTCATGTTTTTGAACATCCTTTCGATTCAGTATGTCACACCGTTTGTGTGAGGCAGAAAAGTTCTTTCATTGACCGTTCCTTCGAGTGTCACCATGGAATATTCATTTTTATTCATTTATTCATTCATTTATTTATTTATACACTGTTCTACAGGTTACACCCAACTACAGAACAGGGATATAAGTCAAATCACAATACAATACAAGTTATAAGATAAAAACAATACATATAGAATTAGCTGAAGTAAAAAGACCTAATCTCAAAGATAGAACAGTAGAAAATGTTGAGCTGACAACTTGCTGAATTGCATTTGACACACATGTTATGCAGAGATGAACGTTTCAGAATATTTGTACGTGGTGGTGGCAGATAAAAAAGGATTAACCACTCTAGAAGTTGGTCAAGGTACATTGAAATTCAGTTTTTGCAGAATATGTGGGTCAATAATTAAATTATTAATCAGTTTAAAAAGAAAAATTGTGAAGTGACAATCACGACGGCAACTCAGGCTATTCATAGTATGTCTAGCTAACAATGCATCATGGAGAAATCCAATTGGTGGATATACCACGTGTCCCACATTTTATGTGACAAGCAATATCTGGTTTGTTGAAGGAGATACACAAAAATGTTTCATACAAAAGTTTTAGGAGTTCATGAGAGCTATATTTTGATATAATTTTTAAATATACAGGGTGTTTGGTGTAGGTGCTACAGACCAAAATTCCATTTTTTAAAATAGAACGCCCTGTATATCATTACATATTCAGATGCTACGTTAA